TGATTTTGGCTGGCTCCGAGAGCCACAAGCAAATTCCATCTGCGTGGCCTTTATTGAAGTTGTATTATGAGTCAAAACGTACGCCACAGACTTCTTCATCACCAGCATAAAACAACGCAGTTGTTTTTTCCAATGCATCTTGTTCTTGTATTGGTTTTTCAGCATTGATGTTCTTATGCCATGCCGGCTATGAATGTGTGTGGGTTGCTCTGTTCGTTCTTTCACAATCTCCTGGTCCAGCTATGTTATTGTTTGGTAAGTGATGTGCAAAAATTCCAATACATTACTCGCTTTCAGCAAAAATCCTACTAGTTCCCGCTGTCCCGTTGTGTATCTTCAAAATCGTGAGTTGAACTGATTGAGTGTTTTGTCATTCACTACTGCTTCAGGTTACAAATTTCATGCAAATGATATTCGGTGCTCAAGTTTTGGTCTCGATTGATGCTGAGAAGCGCAATGCCAAGGCGAAGTAGTTTTGTTACCATTTTTCTACCGTACACTTTGTCTACCTGTGGCACATGCAGAAGTCCCAATCAGCAAAAGGCAGCAGAGCACCAGGTCCCGTCAAACCACAACACTGGTTCTAAAGAAACAAGGATGAGTGCTGATGTTGATTTTGATCAGCTAGAAGCCGTTTTAGACGTAAGTCAAGAAGCAGATGAAGCAATTGATTGTCTGGAATAGAATAATATTTGATGGTGTTTTGTCTGTTATGATTTTTCAGAAACAAACCATTCGTCATTCGTCAAGAACTGCATCAGATGGACATTCAAGGCATCGGGAACGAAGTGAAAGTTATGAGCGGTACGATTTCTGACAATATTCCACATATCGTGCGAAAAATCGTGCGAACAATCTAGACATCAAGGTGCCATTAGTTATGAGTATCATTCTCTCAGTCTCCATAAGTTGCATACTTCTCCCATTTCCACGGAATTTGGAAAGGAATGGCAGACAGAACAACAGTAGAACAATTTGACACCGCGGTGAGCTCCTTGCGGTCACCCCTCCCTCCAGGCTTCACCACTCGTGTCCCAATGAAAGACGTTATAGTGTTGAGCAGCAGTTGATGCAGATTTGATATACGAGAAGATTGTTCTATCTCCATCCATTTTCAGACTCCATTTATATTTCCAGGGTGTCCGGGAGCGTCTTCATGGATCGTTGTGTTTTGCAGGCACCCGCGTAGAAGAGAGAGGTCTTCAGAGAGAGGTGCAAGCGAGGACCACGCGGGATCTTCAAGAGGCGACAGGAAGTCGGATTTAAGGAGTCGGAATGGATATTCAATGCCACGTCGGTCAAGGAGTCGAGGACGACGTCGCGATGGCAGGAGTCGATCACGGGACCGCCGGCGTGATCGGAGTCGTTCCGAGCGACGACGTGCGGACGAATCGCGTCGGGCGAGAGAAGAGCAACGAAAGAAAAGCGAACATGAAAGACGTCTTAGAGAAGAGGAAGAGAAAATGAAAAAGGAGCTTGATGAGGCACGAAGAGACGATTTAACTGTGCTTGTAATGAATTTGAGTCTGAAAGCAACTGAAAGGGATGTCTGGAAGCTTTTCTCTGAAGTAGGATCGACGCTTCTATTCTATCTTTGTATAATGATGATTTCAGAAATGCGGTAAAGTTCGAGATATTCAAATTATTCGTGATGCTCGAAGTGGCAAATCGAAAGGTGTTGGTTACGTTGAATTTTACACTCCGACGTCCGTCATGACTTCATTAGCAATGACTGGACAGCTTCTAATGGGTAGGCCTTTTACTGAAGATCTTCTGACTTTTGTTCTATATTCCTTGGTCTTGTGCGTTCAGATCAGCCTGTCATTATTCAAGCTTCCCAAGCTGAAAAGAACCGAGCAGCGAAAGCAGCAAAGCAACAGCAAGCCGAACTGACTGAACACGGTCCTATGAAAATTTATGTTGGAGGACTGATTGAAAATCTTGCAGCATTAGATGAAAATGATCTGAAGCAACTTTTCAGTCCATTTGGCGACATTGTGAACGTTGATCTGCATAAAGATCCTTATACAGGTGGGCCCAATTATGTGTTGCAAATAATACACGTGTTCTATCTTAGGGAGGAGCAAGGGATACGCTTTTATTCATTTTCGAAATGCTCAAGATGCGCGGGAAGCGATGACTGCGATGAATGGATTCGACATTGGGGGAAGAGCAATTAAAGTAAATTCTCCTTTAGTTGTACATTGTCCTTTACCCAATATGTCGCATTGTCTAATTACAACGTTTGTTGATTTTGATTTTCAGGTTGGATACGCAACGGAGAATCTTCAACGTCCCGCCATCGTCACAGACAATCCTTATCAGACAGCGTTACAATTTGCTGAGGCAGCAAATGATACAGAGAGACTCGATGATGAGGGTGGTGGTTTGCTGAGTGGTGTGAACCCTCGTATCAGTTTGATGCAAAAATTACAGCGGGCGGAAGGTCCAACGACTTCAATGCCAACAGTACAGCCTGGAGGGTTGCTTGCAGGAATGGTATTGCCCGTCCCCTCAGCCCCATCAGGTAGGCAGCAACTGCTTTCTGAATCTTGCTCTATTCACTTTTCAGTTTCCCCCATCTCATGCAACGTTTGCTTGGAGCCACTCTTCACTGCTGAAGATGTTGTTAAAGAAGGGGCGTCGCTTCTCGATGACATTGAAGAAGATGTTAAAAATGAGTGTTCTAAATTCGGTTTGGTCTTGAAGGTCTTCGTGAATAGGAAATTGCTTGACCGGAAAGTTTACGTCAAATTTTCCGTAAGTCCCATTATACAGGGTTATATATCTGATGTGATGTGTGTCGATTCAGTCGTCAGAAGCTGCAGTGAAGGCAAGCACTGGAATGCAAGGACGTTACTTCGCCGGGTACGTTGCAAATAATGAATGTTTTCATTTAAAGTTTTTGTATTTTTTGCAGAAAGCCAATTCAATGTTCATATGTGCCCGATCAAATATGGAACGCCGTTTGTCAATCTTCATACTAGTGAAACACATTTGTTTTCCGTATAATGTGCATTGTTTAGACCGAGGAAAACAAGGATTTCTGTCAAAAACGAACAATGCGAAACACAGATACTCAAAAATTATATTAACGAAGAAGTCATCCGTGGGTAGTTGGCTTCTTTAACCGGTAGTTAATTCGGCTTCTTTAAGACGTAGATTAACTTGTCGACACCTACAAACCAGAATTAACACAAACTAAAAGACAAACACTCACCTCAAATAAAGTTCATCGATAATCGGCTCCAGATCGCGATCATTCAGTATCGACTGAACAATTGTTTCCTTGTAATTGTCTGTTGCAAGAACTGCAGCTGGTAGGCGGAGAAGTCCATCTAACCAGAACACAACTCATTAATCAAGAAATAAAAGACGGGCTCACTTCTTATTGCGGCATCGGACTCTGCTTTCGCTGCTGTCCGTATTTCTGTTAGAGCTTGTCCGATTGCAGTGACAATTGCCGCTGAGGGAACTGACTCCAACAGCCCGAATAACTCAGAGACCATTCGGTGAAGATGCTACAATTATGGAATAATGGTTGTTTTTCATTCAGAAGCTTACTTTGAAAAACAAATAATGAAAATTTTGTACAGATTGACGGATAGCTTCGTGCTCCAAATTCCCTTCCTCAACTTCTATGGAAAAGAAATGTGATCGACACTCAGTCCGTATCGACTCGCTTTGAATTCACACAATGGTTAAATTCGTAAATGGTAAAAATTCTTAAACTGTAAAATTCTTACCACAAGTTCTGTGAACGTAAGCAATATTGCCCAAGAAGGAACACACCATGGTGGTTGCACTTCGCCCACAACGCCGCAAACAAGAATAGCCTGTTTCAATTGCTTTGTCAAGCGCTGGAGATGTTCCAGGAATTGTTGGACAAAACCGCAAATACCGGCAAAACATTCCGTAGAAATCTTCGACCAGAAAATACTCCTCTTTATTCGCCTGAAAACACCACATTAATCATAAAAAGCAAATCGACGGTAGCAATAAAAAGATGCAAACGCCATACCGCAAGCAATTGGTCAATTTGATTTAGTGCTGAAGCGCAAAGCTCATTAAACAAACATTTTAAGGTTTGTGCAATTTCTTGATCTTCACTATACGGAAGAATCAACCATTCAGCGACATACAAATATGTCGCCTGCAATTTGATCGTCTGAAAAGAACAGAAAACGCCGTTGGGACAGAGCGAGTAAAATTGCCGATGGACAAATATCAATAAAACTCACTCTTGAATTTTCGACAATGAGATTCACAAACGATGGAATTATCGGACGGAATGCCGCATGACCGACACAACGTAGACCATGTTTGAGAACGCGGCAACATTTCTCAACAATTGTCGATTGATTTCCGTTCGCTTTGATGAGATGTTCAAGAAGTGGCCACAATTTTGTTGTTACGAATATTCCCAATGCTTCTCTTCTAACAGCGACTTGTTGCTCGGTGGGACTGATTGATCTGAAAGGAATTGAGTGATAGAAAACATAAAAATCGTAAATCAAAGAAACTTTATTTACAATTAAATTGACTCTAGAAGTGCGCGTACCTGAGAATCAGTGCAAGGCGATCTGCTTGAGCGACAATTGCTGTTTTGTCGAGATTCGGTGAAATCAGAGCGGTGACGACGGGATTGAAGAGTTCCTCTGAAGCCTAATTAACAGCAACAACATATGTGATCATCATCAACAAGATGTGGGATCATCATCGACAATATATGTCAGCGATAGAATGTTGAAAAAGACAATTCTGAACATCAACAGACCTTGAGAAATTTGGCATCATCCTGAATAGATCCAATCAACACTGCAACACCTTCTAGTATTGAATAGTAGGACTGAAAAACAGAGAAGAGTAAAAGAAATGAAAAATGTCGAAATCACTGGCGATAATTCAATTTTGACGAACATACATCGCCAGTAATTCCATCAAAGCGATAAAGAGCTGAAAAAAAGAGACAATGACGAAATTAAGGACAAACACTGAAAACATACCAGCCACTAAACTTGGTATTAATTCTTGAACGATAGGTAAATCTTGACCATGGACACACAACGCTCTGAATGCTTCGGCTGAACGGCTCGATAAATACCGTCGTGCAGACAATAATGGAGGATCCGATTGGACGCCACTTTCCCTGATCTCTTCATCCAGTTGAGGCTCCGGAGAGGATCCTACAAGATCTTTCTGAAAGACTTGATGTCCCAAACATTCCAATAATTTGGGGACAAGCTCAGCCCTGATTGAGAGAAGGGAGTCTCGACGACAACATTTAAAACATGAAGTTATAGAAAACTTAGGACTGAGAGGGGATTACCTGCGCCTTAGAGGTAACTTTCCAGCTGCTCGACCAATGAGTTCAGCCACAGCTGTTCTTGTGAGACAATCAGGGAGACTTGTTGGTGCGTCGGGCGTGAGCAACATTCCCGAGAAAAGGGATACCAAATTGAACAATGGGGCGACTGTCAATGAGTCATAATCTACTGGTGAGTCGACTTCAGATGAAACATCATCATCATCAGAATTCGTATTTTTTATTAAGCGTGTTACTGCTGTTAAATAACCCTCTTGTATCCGTCGATCGTTCGATTGAGTTGAATCGACCAAAAGTTCAATCACCTGACACGATCAACTCATATTATATGAAACAGACAACAGAAGCGCATTACCGTTTGGAGAACAGATTTGAAAGAGACAACGGTTGAAACACGAGTGATACACGAACATGCATCGAATCGGAACCTGAACGTGAGAACAAGCATAAGTTGATGAAAACAAAATTTGTTAAAAATTAAACTTGTTGAAATGGGTCTCACTGAAGGAAATCATGGTCCACGTCCAGTGGAGCTTGGAATAATCCTTCGGGTACCAAACATTGCGATAACAAAGTACGAATTACTAAATTAAACAAAATAGCTTGCTGTTCGATTAATTGTCCGGCTTCCTGAGCGTCTGATAATCCTTCTGTCAGAGGAACTGCAGACGCTTTCCATACTCCTCCATCTGCCATTCTCTTCCGCGTTCGAGTGACTGCAACTGCTAATGATTCCCAGAAATCAAACATCTGTGTTGTGATGCCATTCAATCCACGGGCCTCATCATTGACGTCATAAGAGACAGAAGTTAATCGAATCATAATCGGAAGTAGTTCTTTACACAAAGGATCCTTATGGAGAGATCGAGCGATATGATCAGCATTTCCAATCCCTGCGAATCGATAAATGCGGGCGAGTCTCAGAACAGCTTCAGCATCATCGTTTTGGAAGGCATGGCTGAGAGCTGTTCGAATGACTCCATCTGTTGCAGATATTTCATGAAGCATTCGTTGCAAAAGACCACGATGGTAAACAGGAGATCGCGCGGCCACATGAAGTGCTGTGGTGAGACAGTCAGATACAGAATCATCTGTGGCTGGATTGGGCGATTTCAGCAACTGTCGGGAATAAGAAGAAAGAAGACACAGTAGCTTTTATAAAAAAGATAAATTGATTACCTTGAAGCACAAATCGATAAAAGTGCCCGAAAGAAGGCTTTGCTGGATGTCGTGTTCGTTGTAGCCCTCTCGCTCTTCTGCGAAGGACACCCACTCGATGAAGCATTCGAGAACCTTAGATGTGGTTTCTAGATCACAATTTCTCTCAACAATTGAATTCAATCGAGACAAAATCTGAAACACACAAATAGAAGCACCAGGATCAACGAACTCACAATTCGTAAATTTGTATGAAGGATCTTTGCATGCGTTTCTCGAGCGAGTGGATCCGCTAAAACCACATAATTTCCATTCTCTTCTGGTAACAACTGCAAAGAAAACATTGTTCTCAGAAATCAAAGTGTGGGATCCGAACCTTCAAGCACAACAATAAGGCTTGGGTGTCCTGAGGGTCCCCTAGTCGTCCAGTTAATGCCTCAAGGAAAGAATTCCATTGGGGCGCCATATGGATTGTCAAATCAGCAAAAGCCAATCCTAGAGCCACAAGGAGAGTCCGTGGCTGACTGAAAAAGAGAGAGCAGAGAATTGATGCACAGATAGAAAATTCTGCAGCAAAACTGAGAGCAGAATCGATGCATAGCAGCCAAGTGAGAACAATTCTGCTGAGATTGCACTCCTTCCACTTGGAGTGAAAGTCAAGCTGAATGAAAGAATCCCTTTTGTCTTACTGATTTTTGAAACGCTCAATGTGGGAAAGCACCGAAGCACAAAGAGGTTCGAGCGAGCTCGCTGGTAGTTGCGTGATGTCGTACATGATCTTCGTTTTGAGTGTAAGAGCTGCCATGTGCTGGATCTACAAAAAGCCGAATTCAGAACTCGGATGGTCCCAAATGCAGAAAGTCTCTGGTGGGAACCGAGTGGGTGAAAATCTTACTTCATAAGGACAGCATGGCATCGATAGAAGTTGATCAGAAATCGACCAAGCGTCAAAAGCCTGCTGCCACCGTCTCAATCCCAAATCACTGAAAAGAACGAGTCACTCGAATTTGATGTTTTTGGGACGTACGCTGCTCTTCTTTCTTCGGGAGTCCCATTTCCATGGAGGATCCCAAAAGCTTTAACAACCTGGTCGATTGAAAACGCGGAAGTCATTTTTGTAAAACGACAACGTTTTTTGGATCGTAAAGAATCGACTCAGTGAAATGGAGGCATTCGGTGTTTCTTGATCGATAGAAGTCTGGAAACAGAAAAAGAACCAGACATTGTTCCGGATCAAAAAAAGTATTCTTAAAGTGTCATCAGTGATACTTTATTTGACTATCTCTGATAGTGTGTCTTGCTGTTCAGTTTCTCTCTGAACAGAATCGTTGTTGTTTGCTGCTAGTTCTCTCTCGGGTTCTTGAAGTTCTTCTGGTTTTGAACTTTGGAGCAAGTCTTCTATTGAAGCAGACAGCTGCAACCAAACGGAGATGCCTTAAATTCTGTGCCAGTAACTCACCATCTGTGGTGTGAACCATAAGTACGAGTCTCGCAATTCTTGTAATCCGATAGAGATGATGGCTCCTTCTTCCGTTGAGAATTCCGATGCCAAAATAGAAGCTTGGATGTGCCTGATAGAGATGATGCGTTATAGCGACTATTTGGAAGGACATACTTCACAGCCTCGAGAACAGAAATTTTAATCGCTTCCACTAAAACGAACTCAGGCGGGGCGTTAGAGGCGGGAGAGACGGAAATTAAGGACGCTCTTGAACTTCCCAAGAGTGTGGAATTCTCGTTAGATGGAGCTTCAGGAAAATCTTTCAATGTAATTCGAAATGAGTGAAGACCGTCTGGTTGAACAAGATAAGCTTGGAGGTTGAAAACTAAACGAGGGACAATGGAGGCAATCCCATCGCGGAATTCTTGTATTGCAGAACGGAGTGTGCTTGTAGAAACACGTTCTGCCTTCATAACAGTCTCTGAAGTGGACGTTTTCTGTCTCAGTGATTCCGACAGAGACGACGAAAGCCGTAGAATAGGAAGCAGCACTGGAAAGTGAAGGAGATGATGGTCAGAGAGATAAGAGTGGATGAGAGAGATATGAGTGGATGAGAGAGCTAGAGTCTTCTTACACAAAGCGGCACAATGAGCAACGAATGACTCGCAGTGTTGTTTTAGAGCGATCTCCAAATCACGCTTGGTATCAACGCGATTTTGCTGATTATGATCAATTTGAAAATTAATGTCGAGTTAAAAACTCACTTGCAATTCTGGCATAAAATAGCGAATCAAAGATCCAAGTGTCAATGGAGCTCTAGAATTTAAAGGTTGTTCAGGAGAAGATGATAATCTGAGAAAGTTGAAGACTCTGGCTCGAACAGCTCCAAAACCAAAAACAGTTTCATTCACGACAAGCTCGCAATGGAAGGCAGCAACCTGTTCTCTGCAAGATATTGGAAGTATTAGTAGTTTCACGTTAACGGCAATCACCTCAACATCAATAAATGCTTGATGAGAAACAAACTTGCATCAAATGTTGAGCCCTACAACAATTAAAATCGAATACTAAGAACGATCGGAATAGAAATAGAGTATTATTCTTTTAGTCTATCCCATCCGTCCTCACCTTGGCGTCCTGTATCCTCTGCGATGCTTCCATTAGAGATGTGAGACACCCTTCAACAGCATGCTACAATAAGACCACAGATAACCAATCGATCGAGTTTAATCAAACTGACTTGAGCGAGAATCTGAAACGCCGTTGGTGTGACAACATTCTGAGCTGAAGCAAGACACTCAGTGAGACGAACGAGTGGGGAATACCATCCGCCAGAAGGTGAGAGACAAGCTGATTTTTGGGACGATGGAGGAAGAGACGAGTCGAGGGGTGGGATGGCGGTGTGAGTCTGTGGAGACCTTGTATCCAAAGACTCTTTCACGTTGCCGTGGATTGAATTGGGAAGAATGGGAGTTGAAGAAACAACCGAAAAGTCGAAAGTAAGAGGACTACCGAAAAGCCTAAGAACGAGAAGACATGAAAAAATGATCCGATATATATTCATAGCAATGATCTCATATATATTCATAGCAATGATCCCATATATACTCATAGCAATGATCCCATATACTCATAATTGATTAAACCACTAGATCACCTTCTAGGATAATCAACGTCTTGAAGAGTGGGTTCAAAACCACGAATTGATTCCATGATGTAACCCTCAGTCTTGAATATCAACCGCTCTTGAACGTCCTGATGGACATGCGAGAAGTTTGCGGGTTTTGAAAAGCTTCCAAGGGATACCTTCTGAAGTCGGTGGATGGAGTAATAAAGGGGACCAATATCGGATGCAGTTTTTGCAGATGAGTGCACTGATGCACCAGAACTCGTCGGAATGGAATCAAGAACATCAAGAGCGAGACATTCAGAGATTTCTCTGAACAGAAAGCGCAGAAATGGATTAAAAAAAACTTTCCAAACATTAGTACAGATTTGAAAGAAGGAAGAACGGACGAAATGGATGCATTACCGAAGCTCAGCAATTGAACTTGATCCGAGGACTGCTGGTCTCATAATATCCAATAGAAGGTCACCGAGAGACCCAATGAGAGTCGTGACAGATTCCTGTAGAGACTCACGGATTGACGATTTGAAGTTATATAGAAATACTATCAATTCTTGTTTTGTTTGACTGACTCGTGGTTGTCGCAGAACAAAAAAAGCTTGATAAGTTTTGAACTCAAGATCCGCGACAGAGAGAACAAGAGTTGCTGCTTGACGAATGATGACGGGCAACGGATGAACGTCATCATCAGCGAGTGAATTGGCGGTGGTGTCGAAGAGTCTCTAATTGAAGGGAAGAGAAAATAGATAGTGTAGAACGAATGACAAAGCATACAACGAGTTGGGACTTCAAAGGATCAAGAATAAGTCGAAGTCTTGTTGACACATATACTCCTTCAATGACATCCAGCGCACTGATGAAAACAGATCGTGTAGACATCAACAGATATAAAAGGTATCACGAAATGATAGGAATGGTAGGGATAGAATACATGTACAGAATCGAATGAAGAACATCCGTGTGATGACAATATTCACAATAAATGATATTCTGATAATGAATGAAATTGATTTATCGATAAACATACCTCGAATAATATCCATCTGTTTCTGTCTTGGAACGCTCGAACAGTACAGCCATCAAGCACTTCAAATGGGCTCCAGCAGCTCTAATAAAAAAGAAGATCGTCGATAATTATAATGAGTTTATAAAATCAACAATTCGTTTCAAGTACCTGAATTGCACATAATGTGTTGTGAAATTTAGGGCTGGGGATTGTTGTCCACCCGTTTTACGTTCAATACGCTTTTCACACTTCTCTAACGCTTGAGTGACAACTTGGCGTGTCCCAATAAGGAGATCTGATCTCAACCTTTCATATTGGGACAAATAGCTCCGACTCTGGACAAATATAGTCGGGATAACAAACAAAAAAGACCGAAAACCGTACAAATCGAGTATCGATGTTGGATCAACTTGCAAGAAATGAATTCGGTTCCTACCTCCAAGAAATCCGAATGAAGTTGAAAGAAGTCAGAAGCCTCATCAATAGAGATAAAGATCTTCAAAAGTGGAAGTGCAGGTCCAATTAGACGATGTTCAAAAGTCTGTTGAGAACTTCCCCCTTCATCAGCTTTGGATCCAGATGATTGAAATGAATTAACTGTTAAATCTGCGATATAAGATTTGGGATCGCCGCCTATTTCTTTTCTTAAAGCATCAAGCCTGTCGAATATCTCAACACGCTGCTTTACCACTGATACAAAATCCTACAAGACAAACAAAATTCGAGGATCCGATTCAATTTTGGGTGCAAAATTAAAAACTTCCGCTGTTTACTTCTATAGCTCGTTGATCTTTCGTAATTTTTGCGCAAGCCTCATTAAGAGTCTCTGTCTTAGAAAGCGCTTCCGATCGTTCCAATTCAATCTCTCTTAACGCTGTTTCCATAGATCCTAGTTGACCTCCAAGTTTCCTCAAAACTTCAACTCCTTTCGTTAACCTGAAGAACAATTCGAATCAATGATGATGACAGAAGTCTTCTACCGACCAATGAATTTCAGGCTGAAGGGCTTTCTGTCTTTCTTCGGTCTCTTCCATTCTATCCCGGAGCAAGAACAGCGCTGGGCTCTAAAACGAAGGATTGGGACACACCATCCATCAACAACCCTACCAGCAGGGAATTGAGTTCATCTGACACTTCCACTTCACTTTGATCATTTTCCGGGGCCTTCTCTTCTTCTTGATAGACTCGTGTTAGACGCAGGAGAAGATCCTCAACATCTTCAGGAAGAGATGCCGTAGGAATTGGTGGAGCTGGTGGAGCAGGGGGTGTTACTGTCGTCCCCGCTGAGGACATTATGGCGGAAACCTCTCTCTACTGATCATCAGATACGGACTTTCCTGTCGCCTGATGAACACAGAAGGACCATAGGAGTCAAAAAATCAAGATGATCAAGTTTGTATTGATGGTTAACAAACAGGGTCAAACAAGACTCTCCCAATATTACGAATACAAACCAATATCTGAACGCGTTGCGCTGGAGGGTGAACTCATACGACGGTGTTTATCAAGAACAGAATCCCAATGTTCATTCGTCGAATTTCGTCAATATAAAGTCATTTATCGGCGATACGCTTCATTATATTTCATTCTTGGCGTTGATCAAGATGACGTTGTGAGTATTATTGATATTCCAAGAAAGCCCTAATTGTACCTTTCTAGAACGAATTAGCGGCCCTGGAACTCATTCACGCTCTGGTTGAAACCCTTGATAAATATTTTGAGAATGTTGTAAGTGTGCAGTTTTCTTAATGAGCAAGTTTTAATTTCTCGTTTTGTTTCAGTGTGAGCTCGATGTAAGTCAAGAGGGTGTTTCTTTTTTTAATTTCATATTTTATCAGATTATGTTCAATCTTGAAAAGGCACATTTCATATTAGATGAAATGATTGCTAATGGCTGTGTTGTGGATACAAACAAGTCAAATGTTCTAGCACCGATCTACTTAATGGAAAAAGCAGCAAATGCAAGCTGAAGACTTTAAGAAGTCAAGCTGAGTAGGTGAAATCCTTAAAAAGAGAAACGTCATTGTGAGGGCTGTTTTTGCTGATCAACCAATTGCTGGCTTGCTTTATACTTTTCAAGCTCTTCCTTCAGCTTTTGAATGAAGTCCTCATCTGCATCTTCGTCATCCCAGCCTAAAACCATAATAGAACTAAAATCCCCGCCTACAGAGAGAATCCTCCACTATCTGGAAAAATGACATACCTGCTACATCCCAGCCCTCCTCCCATTGGACAGCATCAGGATCCAGTATGATTTCAGACTGGCCTGAAAGTGAACGCCCACAAACGATAAAATGACAGTCGGGGACTCGGCCATCAGAGGTGAAATTCTAGGATGGATGTTGCTCTTACCTAATTCTTCAAACTCTTCTAGTTCATCATCCGGTTCATCGAACGCTGTGCTAATCTTCTGTTCTTTGTCATCCATCTGGTTCAATCCGAAGTGTCACAGACGTCGGGTCGGATAGCCATCTACATGTAACAAGAATATCAGGCGAGCCACTGAGTGACCCACACAAGCAGCGCGTTCAACTCTTGAATTTTTGTTTGCTTGCTACCTCCTCTAGTTATTAAAATGGCACGCGCAAATGAGGTCCGACCAGTAAGTCTTTCTTTTTGGTTCCTATTTTTTCTGACTGTTTTCTACTTAGAGGAGGCCCAGGCCTCAGGGGCCAAAAAAGCCGCTAAGTGCTTTCATGTTTTATTCCAAGTTCAAGAGGAATGAGATATTGGAAAGTCAGCCAGAATTGAAACTTACTGAAGTCAGCAAGATGATAGGTCAGCGGGCGTCGCGGTTGATCGTGGTGGAAATACTTTCTCTGGCTCGCAGGTGCGGCGTGGAGAGAATTATCGGATGCTGATAAGGTCCCATTCGTTCAGGAGTCAGAGGAAGATAGAGTCAGATGGTTGAAGGCACACAAAGAACATCAGATGAAACTGGCTGAAATGTCAGACGAGGAAAAAGCAGAAGCCGAAGCAGCAGAGAAGGAAGCAGCAGAGAAGGAAGCAGCAGAAGCAGCAGAAAAGGAAGCAGTGGAGAAGGAAGCAGTGGAGAAGGAAGCAGTGGAGAAGGAAGCAGTGGAGAAGGAAGCAGTGGAGAAGGAAGCAGTGGAGAAGGAAGCAGTGGAGAAGGAAGCAGTGGAGAAGGAAGCAGTGGAGAAGGAAGCAGTGGAGAAGGAAGCAGTGGAGAAGGAAGCAGTGGAGAAGGAAGCAGTGGAGAAGGAAGCAGCAGAAGCAGAATCAGGTCGCAAGCCTGCTGAAGAAAACGAGGACAAAAATCAGGAAAACGTTGCGGGAGACAAATGTGAGAGAGAGCAAGAAGAATGAAAATTGTTGCAGTTGGTGATTTTATGTTTTCAAAGCCTGTTCAACTTCAACTCAATAGTCTGAAACAGAAGATGGTCATTCAGGGGTGGTTTCAATGTTCCGGTTGTTTGTTAAAAATTGTTTGGAGTTTCTGAATTTTTCCTTCTCTTTTAATCTGAAGATAGATGATGACTCGTTTGTGAGCGAAGACATTTCTGAGCTGTTTTTTGGCGGGGCTTCTTGCCAATAATGGCTGCCTTATTGAGAAGAGACGCAACAACACTCAAAAGTTTGCGTCAGTTGATGGAGACGCGCCGCACTGCATCGCATTTCAGAGGGCTCCGTAAAGGGGACAGCGATTTTTTATTCAAATCGCAAATTGATGATAATCATGGCGACATCCCATCAGAATCGCTTCAGATCAGAAAAAGGCGGGAGACGTTTGCTCGTGCGTTGCTCCAATCACGAGATGATATTGGAGCGCTTTTCGGTAGTCGCGCAGCAAGAGCGTTGGCAAGTCGTTCCGTTAACATGTAAGTGCCACTTTTGTGCAACCGCTCTCATTATGCTCGTCGACTTATTCACTTGAATTTTCAGTCCTCAATCCCAGCGCCGAGACCGTTTGTTTTCTGCAGACGTGGGCAAAGCATTTCGACTGCTCCGCCCACAATCTCTGCTTGAACATGAAGTGAGAAACTGTTCCCGTGCTCGCGTTTCCCAAAATTTCTCATGTTGGTATTTAGGAAGCGGCTCAACTCGGTCTTCAAGCAAGATTGAACAAGATTGTGCTCCCTGTTTCTCCTCTCGCGGCTGATGAGGTATTCGGCTAGAGTTCAATTGATTGTCAATCCATGAAATTGACAGTTTACTCCACTACAAGTTCCTCATAAAGTCACTACTCCAGACCCTCTCAGCATGAATCTACCCGTGATTAATCCAAGGGCTTTTGTTCTTGCTGTTGATGCTGGTGAGCTCTTCACGGCCCCTCAAGTTTCCTATTTTTCTTCAACAGTGTGTCATTCGTTGGCGAATGATGTTGAAACCATTTGTCGAATCTTAAAGATTCCTTTCCTTCCAAAAGAGGACGATCCCCAAAGGTTCAAACGCTGTTTAGACCGCCTGGTAAGACCGAGTTCTACACGCTCTCTTCCATAGCCTCTGCTGGACCCTTTTCTTTTTTAAAGTTTGGTTTCTTCAAACTTGAAAAAAACCCAGATGACGTTGAACGTTGGGTCCAAAAGGTGTGGCCAAGCGTGGAACCTTTCCTGCCAAATGAAATTCGAGCGCTTGGTAAAAAGGTAAGCGCTCCAGACTGCTTAAATCTGATTCTGACCTTCCAGTCATCGATAGATTCATTTGTTTTTCTTGTCAGGCAGTCGAACAGTGGATGGTTGGCCACATTCAGCGTGTCGTTAAAAACCAACCTGGTCACCTAAAACGGTCTAAATGGTGTGTACAAGCACTTGCAGTGTTTCATCATTTCTCTTGTTACAGGTATGATATGGGGCGGGATTTTCTCTACGACGGTAAGGAGACGGTCGAGGTATGAATACTGAGATGTTGTCAGAACTGCCGCTTCCAATCGATTATATTGACGAAAGCCAACTTGAATTTCCGACTGATCAAGCTAAAGAGATTTTACTGTCTCTCTTTTCCTTTTTCGGAAGCTCAATCAGCGACAAGCAAATGCAGACTATTGGGGATCAATTTCAACGTCTTGTTTCGTAAGACATCAGAATTCAGTCTTCGGCTTTCATGATTTCCATCTGATATTGCGATTCTACCGCTTCGTTTTTGTAGTGATTTGAAGCAGATTGGTCTCAGCAATTGGATCAAAGACGAGAATCAAAGCATGCTTAATAATCTTCCGGTTGATAAACCTCCGCAATTCAAAGCAAGTGACGAAGAAATGGAGGTGAACAGCCGATTTGTTGTATTGATGAATCATCACTCAACTTTCTAGACGGCTAAACTGTTGTTGCGTGCAGCCGCACGGGGAAAAACGAATTTACTCGAATTTGAATCGCTTGATCCATACAGACTGTTTTATGGGTTTGATTCAAAAACAGTGAGTCATTCTCTGTTTTGTCATGATTCGTTGATTTGTCAGATTGCAGAGGAGATTGGAAGTCTTCCACCCAATCAATATCTGAGTGATCAAGAAGTTGATTACTACTGCAATATCATTAAAGCAGGGGCCCGCGTCGTGCAACAAAGAAATGTTCCCAAGCGGGTTGAGCGTGAAATTAGTCGAACGGGAAAAACTTCGATGGAGAGATTGGTGAGGGAGGAGAGTGGAAATGATTGTGCAACACTCCTTCATAGCTGCTGGTGAAAAAAGAAGAAGTCAGAAAGTCCGGCCCACTTGAATGGTTGGAGGAGGGAAATCGATTTGTCACATGGAGATGGAAGCAGGTAAGTGTTTTGGGACATGGAAGCATATGAGTGTGTTTTGGGACATCCTGATCTTATGTAGCCGGAAGGATCTTCTTACGATCCCTCGTCTGGAAAATACGTTGTGAATGCGGACGGATTAAATCCAGATATGAATGTTAGAAATCTACGAATGATTTTGCTGAAGGTATCAAGTATGAGATTAAATGCCGGAGCTGACAAATTAAGATACCATCGAACCGTTATCGCGGTGGGAGATGGAGAAGGATACTTCGGAACTGCATGCGGTTTCGGCTACAACCTTCCACAGGCGATCAACGACGGGACGACCAAGGTAAATGCCGGTTTGGACCGCGTCATCCTTCCTATTATCACCGCACTACTATCGACGTTAGAAGGATGATTTCTTGATCAGGCCTTGCGAAATGTGAACTTTATTGATCACGATCCAGGGAAAGTCCTGTTGACTCCCGTGCAAGGAAAAGAATACACATCAACCGTCGAAGTAAGAACTCATGATAATTGTTGATTTCTGCCAGTCTTGACTGTATTCGTAATAGAGTAAGTTGAAAAATGTTGTCTCTTTTCCAGTTTCTCCCCAACAAGCGGGGTTTGAAAGTAAAGGGCCAATACATCCATCTCGCATACCTGATGGGCTTTACGAACGCGAAAATGCGCTTTAAGGGAAAAGTACGCGATTTTCCAATTGTTCGAATCTATTCTTTGTTTCAAAGACCAATGGGTTTCTCGTCATCGCGCATTGAGAAGAAGTTTAGAAGCGATTCAATCACGTCGTACTTTAGCCAACGCAACTGGTCAGAAATACGCCCTACTAGCTGCTCCAGGCGATCACTGGGTCCATTGGCCTGACAAGTAAGTTCTACTTTCCGACTTATGACCGACAGTAGTATCCTTGAAATGAGCGCATCCTTTTCGTTCAGGTGGTTCACTCCAATTCTTCGAGAGTACGAATTCAAGATCAATGCAATCAAAAAAAACGGAAAAAGAATTATGGACCCGGACTAAACGGTACGACTGACATCTCAATGCGACGGACAACGAATCTCAATACGACGGATTAGGTAATACGAATCGATTCATTGTTTTCTTTCTTCTTCAGCGGACAACTTCGAGATGTCGTTCCTGAAAATCTTAGCACAACACAAGAGGTTTTGGTGAGTGACTTCAATGAAATTTTTTTTTTTCCAAATGTATTTTTTTCAAGGCTAAATCATCGGCTCTTTCTTCTTGGGCTGGAATCCAAAAACGGTAAGATACATCAATAGGGCTGACAACCTCTCTTATGAATCCCCCAGAACAAGAGCATCCAACTTCGAAGTATACCAAACGGAAATGATGGGATCATCAACAAGAAAAACTACAGGGCCTCGTATTGTGATGAACAATCTCAAAGGAAAAATTAGTTTGAAGGATAAAAGACGGAGATGAGGCAGCGGGTAGTCGAAGGATTGGGGAAAATGATCAGTATCATTCCCATCATCGTAACAAGAAAATCTACAGCCCCAAACGAGTTAAGTAGGAAGACTACAAAAGTACAAAGAAAACAAAGCAAAAAAGATGATTTGTGATCAAAGAGACCGTGTGAGTGTTTCTTTCTCCTCGTTTGTCGCTGATGGCCGTCCGAATTTGTGCAAGTACGATCTTCCACTGCGAATAAACATAAAGAAATGAACAGTTGGATTCGTGTTATACGATTCGTCCTTACCGTGTTGTACAACACAAGATAGACCCGATAACCCCAACAACACCAAATAGGATCACGGGGATACTCGCCGCAGAGATCTCACTTCCTTCGCTGAAAAGAAGAAACAAAATCAATTCGAATTTGAAAATCAATTTCAAGATTTTACCGAATGACTGGGGCGGAACAGACTTTGTTCCAAGAAATTTCATAACTAGGAATTCCCTTAAACGTGACTGAGAGACGCATTGGTGTTGTACCCGCTTTGAAACAAACATAGCGGATACGCATTTCGGTGACAGTGCTTGATCGTTTCACATCTGGGGTGTGGCCAGGAACGTAGAGAAGATTCTCGTCAAACGTCACCTGATGGTGCAATCAGTTGAGATGATTGAGATGAGCTTACAGTTGGTCTCGGATAGAGGGGAGGCAATTCAGGTCCATTGTTGTCGAGTTCAAAGTCAACAGCTCGTGGAGTGACGATGAAAGAAAACATTGTGCACGATTCTTGAGGTCCAACAGAAAATGGGTCTTTGGCCTCACCAGCAAATTGCGGGGTTAATGTATTCTGTCAATGAAAGAAGACGTTCAGTCGAAGCGCAGAAGAATCAACTTACGTTTTCCCACACAGTGATAGGATCTCTTGAAAAGGTTGAGAAACCAGTTTTACAGGATGATGAAACGATTGATAAATACGGCAAGCTTCCCTTCGAACAATCACCGAACCACGTGAAATTCAGTGGAGCAACAATTGGATGTCCATTAATCAAACTCATTGTAATCTGGATTGGTGCTGTATTCAAGTCTTTAACACGACTCCATTCGGAGCATCTGTAGCCCAAATCGATGCGGAATCCATCTCCATCACTATCACCAACCTGCAAATGAAAGGATTAGATTCAAATCGATGACACTGCGCTAACAG